AATTTTAATAACACAAAGCTAGTTTACCTTCATATTCAATGTACTTCAGTGTGGATACTCTAGGCATACCCGCTCTCCATCCAGTTCCCAGCCCAGAATGCAAGAGAGAATTGTCCTCTCCAGTTTCCAAAGGGTCCTGGCTCATGTAGGACATGGCTCGCTGGAAGGGGACTAGGAGCAATCATTCTGGTGATCTCACCTCTTCCAAAACATTCAGAACCACAGCCTTGAGGTACTTATCAGTCCCATCCACAGTGATGAAGAGATACTGGGAATCAAACCCTTGACTCCTTTTCCCCGCCCCAATGGTGCAGTAGGGCAACTGGCAGGCACATCTACTCATCTCTGAGCCCCAGTTTGCTCCGAGGGATGAGGCATGATCCAGTCTAACTGACTGTTAGGGAAGCTGTGAGTTTTGTTGCACAGGGAGTCAATGGGAAATAGCCCACTCAATTCAGAAGAAAGTTAGAATCATGACATCTGCTCCCTTCTAAGCTGTCCTGGAATTTGTGCATCATTTTCTATGTGATAGCAAACTGATTTGCTTAACACATGCTAATACTCTCTGAGGGCAGGGTTTGGATCTTCATCTTTACAAATGATGTGCCTAGCTCAGTGCCTGGCATAATACATGCTCAGTAAATAAATGCCTTTCACAGAACTGGTGCAATGATGCACAAAGAAGTGTGGAGATACTTATATTGCATGTGTATATATGTACTTATATAAGCGGTGTGACTGCACACAGGTATGCATGCACATATGTACACTATACACACATGTGTGCATAATGTCTATTTTTCTATTATCCATTCATTTATGTGTATTCATTCTTTCCTTTTAAAAGTGCCTGAGAGACCACAATCATTTAACTGTCTGTGTCCCTCAAAGTCCCCATCCTAATACTTAATCACCCAAGCTGATGGCATTAGAATTGGAGCCTTTGAGAGCTGATTATATCATAGGGAAGGAGAATTCGTGAGTAGCATCTGTTCCCTGAGTAAAGGCACCCCAGGGAGCACTTGTGCCCTTTCTACCTGTGAGGACACAGCAAGAAAATGCTGCCTATGAGCAGGAAGCGAATCCTCACAAGGCACCAGATCTGCCAGCACCTTGTTCTTTACAGGCTCCAGAACTATGAGAAATAAATGTCTGCTGTTTATGAGTTAAGCATTTTGTTATAGCAGCCCAAGGAGACTAAGACTGATAGTAAGGAATTTTTCAGACTTACCAAAATGGTTTTGAATCCCAGTCATAGAATCGTTAAGACATTCTAGGTCAGAGAACTGTAAGATATCATTTTTTAACCCTAGTTGCAGATTAGATTCCCCTGAGCATTAAAAAATTAAAAGACCAATGCCCAGGTGTTCTGATATCTTTGGCTTTGAGAAGGATACTGAGGTTAGTATTTGTAGTGTTATGGCTTTTATCCAGATGTTCCCCCAATGCTTCATGCACTCCTAGGTGGGGCTTTTTGGAGGTGGCTGGATCTAAGATGTGTGATTCTGGAATTAAGGGTGTGTGATAACTAAATTGGTAGTTCTGAGTATGAGTAGTGGGAAGCCCTACCCTGGGTGTAGGTGGCACCAACCCATAGGCTTGTAGCCTGAATGGGATATAAAGGGACAGAAAAGAAGGCAAGCTTGCTGCCTACTGCTCTCTGTCTACCCTGACATAAACTGCTTCTCTTCTGCTCTGGCCCTCTGCCATGCTGCCTCGCCTTGGAGCCAGTCAGCTATAGACTGAAATCTCTACAAGTTGTGAGCTGAAGCACATCTTTCCTCCTTTCATTTGCTGGTGTCTGGTATTTTGTTCCAGCAATGAGAATGTAACTAAGACATAGAACTTTCCTGATGATTCGAATGTAACATCAGATTTAGAATCTACTGGCTCGAATTGACTGGGTAATGATCGTCACTGTATAAGGGGGCGCTCTCCCCAAGATACAGCAGAGCAGAAAACTGTGTGTCTGGAGATCCAAACTGCCTCACATGAAGCCAGACAGGAGCTGCTTCTCTCAGGGCCTCTTCATGATCAGATACTTCCCAGTGCACCCGGAGGAGAAGGAAGTAGTGCCAGAAACTAGGCTTCCGGTCCAGCCCTCTTCAAATTGAATATGTCCTGAGTCAGCTAGAGAGTTTCTACAAGTACAGATTCTGATTCAGCATCTGGGGCGGGCTCTGGGCTCCTGGGATTCTGCATTTCTAACAAACATCTAGGTGCTGGTGCTGCTGCTGCTACTGTCTGTATCTAGAGTGACAAAAGGCCACAAACCAGGAAACACAGGCAGGAAATGGTGGTGGCTGAGGGTAGCATGTGCGTATGTGAGGGTGGCCTACTTTTCATTTATATGGTGCCTGTGTGTGTGTTCCTCCTGTGTGTGTTTCTCGTGTGTGTGTGTGTGTGTGTGTGTGTGTGTGTGTGTTGGAGGCTATTGTGATTTTGATCCCTGTTCCCTTTTGATTTCAGGATGGGCCAGCAGCAATCCCCTATGGACTGGTGATCTGAGGGTGCATAAGGAGGAACAGTGAAGGCAAGTTTAGGACTGATGGAGATTGGGGGCAGAAAAGGATGCCCTGGGATCTGGGGCAGAAATGCCATTTAGGAAGGCAGCTCCCTGGTGTGGAGGTATAGGGCAGGCAGGTGGGTAGGCCCATGACAGCTCATCCTAGGAGCGGAGACCTCATGTGTATGAAGCGATGAGGGTGTGGCCTGTGGTCTGCTCTCTGCATTGTTAGCTTTATATCTGATGCCACTCGGAAGGTAACGTCATTGCTACTCATTGGGAAGCTTGATAAGAAACTGTTGGCAGGAGGACAATTGTCTGGCTAAAGACAAAAAGTACCTAAAATCTTAGCCTGAGGGAAGACCTCGCCTCTCTAAGGGAAGTCTCCAGCACAGGGTCAAATCAATAAAAGACAGGAGAACAGACACTGGTCCAGGATTTCTCAGTTAACCCCACAAAGGAAAGGATGTTATCATTTTCCTTCCAGAGCTCTTTAAGGGTTAAATCTGTATCTGAAACCGTCTGGAAGCATAAGCAGCCAGAATTCAAGTTGTAACTCAAGACATTGTTCATAAGTTAAAACTAAAATTCTGGTCATAACCCATGTTGTTTGTATGTCAGGCTGGTTGTAACTCAAAGGTGCACTGTAGATTGATTCAGTGGTGGCTCTAACATACATCCACATTCAAGTTACACTTGGTATTTGTGAAGAGAACTTTATTTGAGGAGAAGTCTTTGCAGATGCAATTAAGGTCCTTGAGATGAGATCTCTTAGGTTACCCAGGATAATTCAGATGAACCCTAAATTTAATGGCTAATGTTTTCATAAGACACAGAGAGTCTTGAGACTGGAAGAATAGGGGAAGACAGGGACAGAGAGGAGAAGGGCATGTGATCGTGGTGGTGGCAAAGACTGGAGTGATGTGGGCTGAATCCAAGGAATGTTGGGAGCTCCCCAAAGCTGGAGGACTTAGGAAGGATTTTCCGCTAGGGAGCAGAGTCCCAAGAGAGCAAGGTCCTGGCAACTGATTTTGGTGTTGAGCTTCTCACCTCTAGGACAATGAGGGCCTTCTCAGTTGTGGTACTTTGTTACAGCACCTCCAGGACAACGACACACTTGCCTTCCTGTTTATCCCATGGCCACAACCTCTAGTTCACAAGCATTGGGCTGACACTGCTGCTTGCCACATTTAACTCTAATGATAAAGCTGGGCTGAGAGTTGTTCCCCTTTCTCGGGCAGCCACAGGTGACCCAGCTCAGTTCACTTGACAGTGGCCTTGCCTCCCTTCCCAGAGCTTCCCCCATTTCCCACAGAGGCAGGCTCAGGGGAGGAGCCCTGGATTTATGTCACCAGACAGCCCATCTGAGGAGGAAGCTGAGGCGCAGAGAAGCTAGGGCGACCTGCTATCAAGCGCTATGATACAGACCAAGGAGGAAAGGGCCACAGCCCCTGGCTCAGAGGTGACCTTCGATGAGCTTGATCCTGGGTCAGGTGAGGACTCCCCCTGTGGTCTGAACCCCGGGAGCTCCCTCCACTGCAAGAGGAAGGGTGTGAGCTCCAGCTCCCATCCCATGAGCCTCACACTGCCCAGCTTTGACAGCTGTGGACACTGGGGGGCAGTGACGGTGCTGGGCTGCTGCTGTGATGCTTGCTGCTCCCTGTGTCACTCTGGACTCCAGTGCTGTGACCCTTGCCTGTCATCCCACTGAACCCCAGGAGCCCTCTAAGACCTAGGGTCACCAAGCAGCCAGACGTCCCTCCTCCTCCAGGTCAGATTGTGCTTCCCACAGAGCTGAATAGCTTCTCAAATCCCTGCAAGCTTAACTAACACCCCAGGACCATACAGCTGTGTTTCAATAGGGCAGGAGTGGAACTAGGCCTCCCTCACCATGAAACTCACATTCTTTCCAGTGCAGTCACTCTGCCTCTCTTGTCACACCAGAGGAGAGTGCTCTTGCAAAGGGCGAAGTGAAGAGAGAAAATGAATAGGTACACAGATGCATTTTAGAGTGGATTTTTTCATTCTCGCAAGTCCTTAAACCTCCAAGGACTGCTTGCTTTTTATTTTATTCATGGACACAGAGGATAGATGGGTGTTTTCCTGAGTCAGATACACATTTGGGTTTCCTTACCCAATCACAGACCCAGAAAGAGAGAGCTGGACTAACGCCTTTTACCTGCACTTCCACACACCTGGGTGGGCAGTGAGTGAGGTACTCCTGGGAGCCCTTCTGCATTCTTTGTGTTGGAGCATGTCACCCCTGCTCTGATCTCACACACTCAGGGACACAACAAGTGGGCGTCCACAGAATATGCCTTTTCCAGCAAGGCAGAGGACTGAATGCCCAAGCCACATCCTCAGCCCTGGCCTCTTGGGAAATCTCTGTCCCCCTCAGGAGCAAGGGCACGTCTCCTGGGTACCCTGCAGGTGCTGGCTCCAGTCCCCACCGGGCCATGGGAGCTGGGGCACACAGTGATGTCTCGGTACTTACTGCCTGTTCATAGTTCTTGGCGCCCAGGAGATAAGAGGAATCTTCAATTCAGCCTGTGGAAACAAAAGCAAACTTTACTGGGGCTCCTTACACATCACATTTTAATTCTGTTGAACATGCTACTGTTGCTTTTTTTTTTTTTTTTGGTACCGGGGATCGAACTTGGGTCCTTATGCTTGCAAGGCAGGTGACCAAACCACTGGGCTAAATCCCCAGCCCATCTACCGTTGCTTCTTAAAATTAGATGCAGGTGCTGGCTTAGAGGAAATGAGGGGGAGAGAATCAATCCAGGTCAATAAATGGTTTATTTCTGGAGCAGGGTGGAGGGGGCGCTATTTTTCCCTGATGCACTGTCCTCTTTCTGTCAGCATTCATTCCGTCTGCCCTGGGGAGCTGAGCACACACACTGAGCCTGCTTTTCCCTGGCGTGCAATTGCCTGCTCCCCTGGGCACTAGACCAGGCTTGCTGGCTGTGCTCTGGCGGGTCCACAGGCTTGCCAGAGCATGCAGGAGAAGGGATGCTTCTCATTTCCAAGTGTGACTTTTTATGAAAGTTACACTTGTGTACCACTTCACATAGGCTACAGTGTTTTTACTTGAACCCTGACTCATCCACACAGAAGAGATCGTTAGTCCCGTTTACCAGCAGCAGAGACCCTGGGAGTATTCAGTAAAGGCTTTCCATCAATGATCACATGTAGTCTACACAAAGACCCAGGGAGGAATCAAAGATATTTCCCTCTGTGTCAGTGGGAAATCCAGCAACAAGCAGATGGCACCCTCACATGTGGGAATTTGAGAAGAGTTTGATAAAGAGAACCTTTAAAAGGTACAGGCAAGGTGGAGGAATCCACAAAGACAGTGAGATCCCTGGGGGTGGTAGGAAAGGGGGTCCCACGGGGCTGGAGGTGGTAATAGTCCCTGGGACGCAGAGGCAGGGCTGGCTGGAAGAGAGGTAGGGCTTCAACTGAGGGGGCTGCAGGGAGGGAGCTGTAGAGGGTGGAATACAATTCCCTATTGCATGCTCCTCTGGTCTTGACCTCCTACTGCTGTGTTCCATTGGCCAAACTCCACAAGAAGCCTGAGGTGAGGAGCTATTGATACAGTTTATATCTATCAGCCTCCTGTGGCTCCCAGTTGGATGTAGCAGGGGAGAAAGTGGGTTTCACAATTAGAGAACAAGGCCCAGCAAGGTTAAATTGTGCACTCAAGATCATCCAGCTGTGATCAGAGCCCAGTTTAGAAATTCAGTTTCCTAATATGTCAACATATCGTACCTCACTGAGCCCGATACACTTCTAGTAAATTCTTCCATCCATTTCGCCATCCCTTCACACATCTAGCTACCCCAGCACCATTTATTAGAAACTGCATAATATTGTCCCAATGAGGTCCAGTCCCTGCCCTCAGAGTGCTCCCAAAATTACAGAGAGTATGGTTTTTGCATCCCTCTGCGATGGCTGTTACCAAAGTGCTTTGCAAAAACAAATGCATCTGAAACAAAACATAACAAATCCTAACTCTGCCTCAGAGAGCTGGGGAATCTTCAGGAGGAGACAGAGCCTGAGCTGTCTTGCTGAATAAGACAGAGCCTTCTAGGCCCAGGGTTAGGAAAGTGGTCCAGGGCAGGGAAGCATCAGCTGTAGAGATGTCCAGGTGTTAGAGGCACATGTGACATTCAGCTTTGTGTGGCTCCGGTATTGGCGGTACATGGGCAAGAACTTGGGAAGGTCCATTGGATGGTGACTGTAAGGTCCACACGTGGCCGGAATGGAATTTGGACTTGAGTATGTGATCTTGTGCCAGAACTGCTGGAAAGTTACTAGAGAGCGTGGACTCAGCTGCAGGACCTCGGACATCCCGTGTTTGTGTTTTCCCCCCCAGCACATGACTTCCTCTTATTTTCAACCACAGACAGAAGGCAAAGGAGAGGCAGCTGATAAATGCTCATGCGTGGATAGCCCTCGGTGGATAGTGTACAGTGTCTAGTTCATGGCCTCCTTTCAAACTCATCTCCTCCACCGTGCTGAAGAGAACTTGAACCTTTCTCGGTGTGATACAAATAATCCTCATCGAGTCCTGCAGGAGCCCTTGCTGAGAAGAGCTCAGAAAAGCCTCTGTCTTATCCTGGGCTGCGTTACCTAGCTCTGTGGCCTTGGAGGAGCTCTTGGTCTGTCCTCATTCATAACGATAGCATCGGTATCTTTCTTCCAAATTATGAAGTATGACATAAGCTGATGCATACGAAGATGTCTCCCAAGTCCAACTTACAATGAAATATGGGTGCACAGTTCCTTATATAATGAAGTTGCCCAGTTACGTTAACATCACTCACGCTATATTTGGGCATGTAAGATTATAAATCCAAATTTTTGGAAATTAATCTGCTTGTAATTTACAGGGTTTAATTCACTTAATTATGGTTGTACAGGACAAATTGCCCTCCCTCAAGGGTATCTGCCACTTTAAGGTATTTGCTGATAGAGTCACTTCATTCCTTTGGAAGTCTTAAGTGGTCTTGAAATGCTGATGACAAAACAAGCTGATGTTTATGGTGGACCCCCTATGTGCCTGGCCCTTGAGTACCTCTTATGTGCAGAAAGAGGGACACTGGGATGCAGGACAGCACTTTCAAGTCTTACTGTCTGGGATCCGTAAGGTGAGAAGCCTCCCCTCACCACCTGCCATCCACTATGCAGCTTTGAACAAACCATTTGGGCCTCATTCTTCATATGATAAATAAGAAAGTTGGGTCAAATAAGTCTCTTTCAGCTCAAAGATTCCATGCAAGTGTTCCCTTTAGAAAAACTATAATCCTACGTATTTGGTGACAAAAATGGTTATAAAAGTTATTTGTATTTGTTATTATGTTTCCTACATTTTATTATCTTATCCAATAGAACTCCTTGCAGAGCAAAATTGCAGAAGTCTCTTCCAAATTGATAACTCAGCAGAACAAGGTGTGGGGGGCTAAGAAGAAACCCTCCCTTTGCTTATCCGTAATGCTTTGTAGATTGTTTGATCTTTAACATTACTGCTTGCATTTTAAAATTATAATAAAAGTTCAAAAAGATATTCTCTTAGCAGCTTTGGGGAGAACTGAATAATCCATTTGTAAGAAAGGGTTTTAGACTACTTCAAGGAGAGCCCAAACTTTTCTGGCATTATAAAAAGGAAAATGTGAGGTCTCAGCAACTCACACAGGAGTCTAAGTCAGCAAGGCAGGGGCCCGAGAAAGGCAGAATGGATGTTGTGCCGAGGGTCTCTGCTCTGCCCAGAACCACCTAGACCTTTCTGAGAGTTGCACACTCTTATCTGACCTTAGTTGTTTGGTGAACGAAGTGGTGGGAAGAGTGAGTCAGCCAGAAAGACTTCCATGACCACAGGTTTTACAAAGAAAGCGTATGTAGTACAGGAATGACCAGGCCCTTCCCTCCCCAACTTCCTGTGCTTTTTTCAAAGACAAGGGAATGGATATTGTCACCTTTTGTATTCCCTCGTCACAATAATTCCATAGCATTTGCATTCGCCCCCATATGTTAAACAAAACTAAGTGACATTCACATACATGTCATCAGCTGGTATTTGAAACACATGGGCCCTAACACTTTTTAGTTGCTTAGTACAACTGTTGGCTTGTCCTGAGCCTGTTTGCTTATCTATGAAGTGGGGCAACACAATAGTGATCTTATGAGACTCTCATGAGGGTTGCATGAAAAATAAGATATCTGTGAAGGCACAAGGAAATGGTGATTAATATGAACTTGACAATTAGCTTAATACTTTATAACACTTCTAGGGTGGCATTCGCAGAAGTGAGAGATGTATAACCAATGCTCATAGCCACCTGTTGCATAATCCTATGTTGCCTTCCCATCATGCCTTTAGAATTACCATGGAGCTTCACAGTGTAGGGTTCCCTGGAAAACCCAACTCAGTTGTAGTAAGGAGGAGCTCAGTATGGCCATTACCTGAGTGCTTCAGGGATGGAAATGGCCAGGGCGGCCACAGAGAGTGGACAGCTGAATGTCAGTGCATTCACATCTCCCATCTTTATCTGCCTCACCAGGATCACTGATGCCTTTTTGCTGAACACACCAATGCTTTCTCATTCTTAGATAAATTACCAAGTCAACACACTTTCATTTGCTATGCTGTCTCCAGCCCGTCTTCAACAGAAATCCAGGAAGTTCCACTGCTCATAAAGAATCTTCCATTCATTTAGAATTATTTTGAGTTAATGTTGAGTAGAATTTGTTTACAAGTCTGTTACATCCAAATCCCCATAATGTCCATAAGAATGGGAAAGATTTGTTTGTACTGAGACACAGCATTTGCACACTGTCATCATACAGTGTGATAACTCAGTACATGGGTACAACGTGTGATGATCAAATCACGGTAATAAGCACTTATGTTTCCTCAAATGTTAGTTATTTCTATGTGTTGGGAACTTCTGCACCCTTCTTATGGGAAAGGTTTCTAATCACAGCAAGTAGCAGTTTCTCAGATGTTATAGGAAAGCTATAGTACGGTTTGGTATAACTTATAAAGAGTTTATCCATGTATTCTGCAATTATTTATTGAGGATCTACTGTGTGCCTCACATTCCAGATGCTAGGATGGGAGGCCATAGAGCAAGTCCTCTTCCCTCATGGCACATAGTCTTATAAGTGATCTTAATGGAGTGAGATTAAATACGAGTCTGTAAACAATAGAGGGACAATGGATGTTAGTGGAACCCACAGGCTGCTTGCCTGGAGTGGATCCACACAGCTTCCTGAGGAATCAGCAAAGAGCTTTCTGGCCAGAGCCTCCACAGTTCTTGGAAGTAACCCTGATCCCTTTGTCTGGTCTGATAATGGATCGGGAGGCAGGACCTGCAGGTTGAGGAACTTCCAAAGCCCCAGGTCTGCAGATCATTTCTGCAGGAACTTTGGGGTCTGTGTGATATAAAGGAACATGCAATGTGTTCTTGCTTTGAGATGAAGACCTACAGAGGTGAGTGCCCAGCAATGAAGAAAACCCCACAGAGCCTTGGATATTCACTTTCTACAGGGATGAGGGAATTTATGTCAGTTTCTCTTCCTAGTCAGCCATAGGGCATTCCCAGTCAGAGGCGAGTCACACCAGGCGCCGTCTGTCAGACCTGGTTGTGGGA